AGTTGTTAACAACCTTAATCTCTTTTCCATCCATCATGGTGCTGCTAATTGGCTCAGTGGTGAGAATCTTTGTCTTCTTGGTTTTGAGCTTCAATCCATATTAAAGACTACAGTAAAAAAATAATATATAAAAAAACAAAAAAACCAAAACCAAAAAACTACAGTCCTTAACCTTCTGTAACAAATGCTTCAGGTCCTCTTCACTTTTGGCAAGCAAGGTTGTATATCATCTGTTTAATTCAGGTTGTTTATGAGTCTTCCTCCAATCCTGATGCCACATTCCTCTTCATAAAGTCCAGCCTCCCGAATGCTCTGTCTCGCATACAGATTGAAAAGACCTAGACATAGGATGCACTCATTCCTAATGCACTCCCTTCCTAATTTTGAACTACACAATGCTTCCTTGCTTTGTTCTGACAAGTGCCTCCTGGTCCAAGAATAGGTTTCACATGAGCACGATCAAGTGTTCCAGGAGTCCCATCTTTCTCATGGTTAGCCACAATTTGTTGTGATCTACGTAGTCTAATACCTTTGAATAGTCAATGAAACACCAACAGACATCCCCTCTGGTACTCTTTGCTTTCAGCCAAGATCCATCTGACATTGGTGATAATATGTCTAGTGTCATCGCCTCTTCTAAACCCAGCTTGTATTTCTTGTAGTTCTCTTATTGTACTGTCCCAGTCATTTTTGGATAATCTTCAGTAGGATTTTGCTCATCTGTGGTATTAGTAATATTGTTCAATATTTTCCTCAGTCTGTTGGTTCACCTTTTTTTTGGAATGGGACTAAATATGACTATCTTCCAGTCAGTTGGTCAGGTAGTAAGAAGTCCTCCAGATTTCTTGACACAACCTGGTGAGTATGTTCGGGGCAGAATTTGTTTGATGAACTATGCTAATTGGTATGCCAGCAAATCCTGGAGCACTTTTTATTGCCAATGCCTTCAGAGCAGCTTGAACTTCCTCCTTGGTCATCATTGCCTCTTGATCATATGTTGTTTCATTATATTCTTCTATGCCAGCAAATTCTTTTTGGTTGGTACACTGCCTCTGTGTACTCCTTCCACATTCTTTTAACGTTCCCTGGATCATTCAATATTCTGCTCATAGCATCTTTAAAGTATTGTAACTCGAGGCTTGAATTTGTTCTCAGTTCCTTCAGCTTAAAAAATGCTGAGCAAGTTCGGCCCGTTAGGTTTTCTGACTCCAACTCTTTGCATATTTCATTATAATATTTTATTTTGTATTCCCAAGCTTCCCTTTGAAATCTTCTCTTCAGCCACTTAATTTCTTGATTTCTTCCCTTTGCTTTGGATTCTTGGCACTCTAGTGCAATATTCAAAGTCTCTATTGACATCTATCTTGATCTTTTATTCCTCCTCTGTCTTCGTAATGACCCTCTGCATTTTTCCTGGATGATATTCTTGACAACCTCTCACAGCTCATCTGGTCTTTGACAGTTAGTGTTCAAGGCCTCAAACCTGTTCCTAAGACAGTTCTGAGATTCAGTTGATATAGACTTAAGGCCAAATTTTGGTTCCTGTGGATTTAATTTAACCTTTATTTCAAAAACATCAAAACCAACTACAACTCATTTCTGTTGAGTTAGAATCAATGCACAGCTGACTCTCCAGGGGGTTTTCGGAGGCTGTAAATTGCACAAGACTGCCCATCTTTTTCTCTCATAGGTAACCAAATTCTAATAAAATAACAACAACAAATATATATGGCAGAAAGTTATACCATAATCAGTAAGTTTTCCAGAAGTTCTCAGAACATGTTATTGTAACTTCCATGAATGCTACAGTAACATCCTTTCTATATTTAAGTATACTTTCCTGCTTTTTATTGGTAATTATCTATTAAGGGAGCTCTGGTGGCATAGATGTAAGAAGCTGCTCTGTAATCCCAAAGGCACATAGTTTAAATCCTCCAGCTGTTCTGCAGGAAAAGACTAGGCAATCTCTTCCCATAAGATTAACTGCCTCTAAATACTCTTTGGGGAGCCACCTATGGGTTGTTTCTGACTCCACAGTATACAACAACAATCATCCCTTAAGTACCTACTGTGCGCTAAGACAACAAGTTGAATGGCAAAGGTACACAACTCAGAAAAATATGCTTACCGCTCTTGAGACCATAACTTCACACAAAAACAAGTAAGTAGCATGATTTCACCTTTAGCCCAGGCTATGATAAATGGTCAAAAAGTATAGAAAATGGAGTCTCAAATTCTGGCTGATACGTGGTAGAAGTAAAGAATAATACCATAAAGTGGTGGCATGTCAACTGGTTTTGAAAAAGGTAAAGAATCCCTGATCTATTATTCACAGGGTTGCTGTGAGCTGTAGTCAACTCAAAAGCACCTAACTACAATAATAATAATTTATCAAGCAGGAAAAAGTAGAAAATATCAGAGACTATGGAAGAGGAAAGGCTAATTGGAATAGGTGAGGCTGAAAGGACCAGATGGAGCCCCACAGACTGCGCTCAACAATGTGACTTTGATTTTGAGAGTCATGGGGAAACATGAACATTTTCTACAAGGGAAGAGATATACAGCTGCAGTGTGAGGAAGAATGTGAGATTCTGCAATTTGGTCAGACAATTCTCCACAAGTCTCTGTAGTATTGACTATTTTGTACAGAGACACCTTGAGAACCCTTCCCTGGATTTTTGGAGAACAATGTCCTGAAAGAGGGAGATGTCAAGTCTCCCTCCAGAGCACAGGGAAGGCCTGCTTACCATCCAGGGAAACGTGTGATCCCTACCCTCAGGCCTGCTCATGTAACCAACCCCTGCATGCTGCTGTTAACTGTTGTACATTGTGCTGAGAGAAGTGGGACCCAGACACAAGCCATGTCTCTGACTGATCTGCTTCTGGAGGAAATAGACTGTCCCTCTTTAGTGCAAGCTAACTGTGATACCACAGGCTACTAATAAGAAACAGTATCTTCATAAGAAGGAACACAAAATCACCAGATAGATAGATAGATAGATAGATAGATAGATAGATAGATAGATAGATAGATAGATGATAGATAGATAGATATTGGTGGATGGATGGATGGATGGATGGATGGATGGATGGATGGATGGATGGATGGATGACAGATTGATCAATCTATCTCCTCATGAAACTGAGTTCACTCAGCATAATGCTCTCTAACCTCCCCTATATTATATAGTATTTTTCCAAATTGTTGCTCCTGAGTGCTGCCTAGTATTCCATCATATAAATGCACAATTTATATGCACATTTCTCAATTCATTCTTTTGTTGTATGCACTAGGCTGTTTTAATTTTCTTGCTACTGTGAATATAGCTACTATGAACTTAATCTCATAAAAACAAATGCTGCATAAGACCATAATTGTAGCAATAGAAGGGCAACTAATAAGGTGTGTATAGAAGTTCCAAGGGACTTGGAGGAGAGGGGGTGGAAGGCTGAGAGGGGCAGAGGAGGAAATCATGGATAGGAAAGATCCAGTGAAGTTCTGAAAAGATGGGCTGATAATGGGCAATGGTGATTAATTTTATAAAACGATATATAACAATCCTATGTAACACAATGTTAATGAGGAATGTGTAAAACTCAATGTATATGAATGAAGCACAATGTATACTAATTTTGTATGCAAATAAATATAAAATTTATATTTGTGTGCATGTGTAAAGGAGCTGTGCTGCAAACAAAAAGACATGGAGTTTGAATCCACCAATTTCTCTGAAGAAGAAAGATGGGCAATCTACCCTTGTGAGATTTATAGCCTCTGAGAACTGTTGAAGGGTCATCTATGAATTGGCCCCAGGTCAACAGCACATAATAACATGAATGTACATTGATAAGGTTAAACCACAGTTCTGAAGTCAAGAGTTCTTAGACACTGTCAAATGTGGACTACTGCAGCAGGAGATGGGAAGGAAAAACCTTGAAAGATGGAATTGTAAGGAACTGGGGATTCTCACAGAACTGATTTCAAAATAAAAAAGGAAATACTAATTATAAACAGGCCCTAGTCCTTTCATGCTTTAATTACTTTGATTTTGTTGTTGCTGATACCATGTGCTTAAGTAGTGGAAGGCATGCTGAGTTCAAGGATTTTTTTTTTGTTAACATGTATTTCAGTACAATTAAAGTGGATATAAGTAGTAGAACTGGCAGAGGGAGTTCTATTTCTTAAGATTCACTCAGTTATGCTTGACCAGGCAGCAGGACTCTGTGTGACTGGGATAATAGTCTTCCCAAGAAACTTGAGAGCTTGAAAATGTTGGTGGAGCAAAGTATGTCCTGCATGTCATGAAAACTGACCTAGAAATCCCATATGGATAGGTAAGGGGTGAAACCACAAGGTTCACAGTTCAGTGGATGGACGTGGGGGTGGGGAGGGAAATAAATGGGAAGTATCTGGGCAAAAAGATAGGGTAATGACGGGTAATGTCCAATGGTGATTAATTTTATAAAACATAATGTGTGAGAATGATTGTATGAAACACCATATGAAGGAAGAATACTGTGAAATACAATGTATATAAACTCTGTAAGCAAACAATAAAAAATGTAAAAGAGAATGTATACAAATGATTGTATGAAACACAATGTGATTGTATAAAACATAATGTATATGAATGAAACAATGTACAGGAACTATTATATGAGAACAATTAAAATATTTTTTAAAAAAGAAATCGTTGTAAGAGTTTGGTGGGCAAAGGCAGAGAAAAGCAGTTAGGAAAGAACCACTGGGGCCCTGAAAAGATGAGGTAATGGTATGCATAGATCAACGGTGACTTATTTTACAAGACATAATAAATATGAAACAAATGTGAATGAAGGAATATGTGAAACACAATGTATATGAATGATACACAATGTGTACAAATTTCATTGCAATACAACATTTTTTAAATGTAAAAAAAGAACTTGCAGTCATGATCACACAATCGTTTTAAGTAGATATAACTCTATTGCCTTGAAAATGTAGTTATCTGTCTTACCAAGCAATTCATACAGAGAATTCAGAATGGATTTCCAAGACTCCCCAGCTTCCCTGCCGGCAACATCTGCAAAGTGAGCGGCACTGCTATACACGTGCAGCCGGTCTATGCACTCCAGCACGAGGCTGATCATCCCCTGGAAGGTACAAGAAAACAGACTGATGTCACAAACAGCAAACTCCGCTCCCAGGAGGAGAAAAAAGAAAAATCAAACCAAAAATCAAAACTCCACAACAATTTGACAAAGAAAAGAGATACAAAGTCTGACCTCAAGTAAGCCTGTTAATCATAAAGAAACATTAATTTATTCGAAGGACAAGAAGAAACTTTTGCTCATCAAATAAATGTTCCTCACAGAATTAAAAGATTTTAAATATTGACTTCTCAGTTGAACAGGAGTAGAAAGATACAAAAATGCAATCTTCATATTTATATTTGCATGGTACAAACTCCCTACTATCAAGTAAGAACTGACTGACAGCTGACCCTCCAATGGGTTTTTGGAAGCTGTAAATAATATCTCAAGGAGCAGCTCAGCTCATGGATTTAAACTGCCAGCCTTTGGGTTAGCAGTGCAACTCCTTACCCACTTGGCAACCAGAGCACCCTGGCATGGTGTGGATTACATGAAATAAATATTTATGGTATGCTATAGAAGACAAGCAGATCCTTATTTTTTTTAATAAGGAGTACAATAAAGATACTGTAAATTTAAGTAAAAACAAACCTTAAAAATGATGCTTAAAGGAATTTTTTTAAAGTATTCACTATAGAACTCTGAACAAAGAAGACTAAATCTGAATTTACACTTTTTTATTATTGCCAAAGCAAATCAAGTAAAAAAAGCATATGAAAGGAGAATCTGTGAATTGATAACTCACAAAATTGATTTGCTTCACTCAGAGACCTTAAAAAGCATCATGAACCCAATGATATTTCTAGGTTTAAATCTTAGAAGAAACATAAAAGACAAGATCAAAGATCAAACAAGGAAGGCAAGGTCAAACACAACCTAGGGAGTTGTCTCTGGGTGTCTAAGGTTTATCATTCAGATGTCTTTCCTAGCTTATCATTAACTGTATATTTTGTGCTGAAGTAATTATTGTCTTAAGGAGACAAGATTAGGATAGGTTAAAAGCCCACCCTACTAGAGGCTTATATAAACTCATGGGACCTCAGCACTAAGAGCTTCTCTTGCATAATGCTCACCTGTAACATGGCATCCAACTTGCATTAACCACAGTTGTCATCCAGCTGTGCCACAACCGATATCCTACAGGATCCTGGCTTAATCATGCACCAGTTTCTGCAAAACCAGTCTGCAGACCTACAGTCACATGAATCATTGCCCTGATGGGTCTGAGTCTCTGGGAGAAGTTCTAGGAGATCACTGAACCCAATGGCCATAGAGGGATTTGGGAAGTAAGCCATGGATAAAGCTGTTTATATTAGAAATTATAGATTTATTCAACTGGTTAATAATTTGGGACTATGTTGACCTGGGACTTATAAAGAATCTGCCATTAATTTTAGCAAGATAAATTATAAAAGCAGCATGTAAAAGGAGAACTATAAAGTGATAAATAACCAAATTAACTCGTTTCATTCAGAGATCTTAAAAAGAACCATGAACTCAAGGACATTTCTGGGTTTGCATTCACATTTCTCGCATTAAGAAACAAAATGGGACCTTCTAAGACTCAAATCCCTATGCACATCCAAAAACTTCTCCAGTAGGGTAAAAAGGGAAGCCACTGACTGGGAAAAAGTATTCG